AGAGATACCTGTGCATCACTTCCATGTTCTAAGGGTCTTAGAGCAGAGAGATTTCTTGATAATTTTCCATTTTCTACAATCTTTAAAATAGGCACCAGGAAGGGGTATATATTGGTTGCAGTTCATTCCCTAGGAACTCTGTAAGTGTGAAGACATGCTTGATTTATTTTTTTTAAGCAGTAATTAAAGAACAAGAGAAAAAGATGTATGCTAGTGAGGAGGAAGGTTTTTATTGGTTAAACATACTGTACTTCTGAAATTTTTGATGGGGTAGTTAGAAAATTGTTTCCATTTCTTACCTCATGGAATGTCTAACTAAAATTTCCTTGATTCCGTGATTTTGATGAGGTGGTAACAGCAGGTTGGTTTTATATAAACTGTATATACACACACACACACACACACACACAGAGTGATAAAATGTTTTGGAATTACTCACATACATTCTGTGGAGAAAAAGGTTCTGGCTACTTTTACATGAAAAAGATTTCCATATAGATGTAATTGATAGAATGTTCTTCCTCCCTTATTCAGTTTTTTTAATATATTTTTCCTTTGAAGTTCAAAATATGGAATCTTATGTTTATGAAGGACTAACATTTGGAAGGCTCTTAATTATGGTGGATTTTACCCTCAGCATGCAAATATATCTTAGCCGTGACACTATCTGTTTTTGTAATCCTGGAATGTTTTTAATTAGATTCTTCATGGAACAATGGATTCAAATTTGCACTCTATAAAATTCAGCAGATTTTATGCTATTAAAATAGAAGATTAGAGGATAGGAAAGACAGAAAATGTACATTTCATTTGCTTCTTTATTTAACCTTCACCTAAATGCTCTAATATATTTCTGCCTTATGTTTTATAATCTGGTTGAAATATGTTTCCGTCTTTTCTATAGGAGTATGAAGACCATTTGAGATGTGTGTTGCTTGTAGTTTTTAAAATATATCCTAAAGTTCTCGTAATGAAAAGTAGGGTCCTAGACATCTGAGTTTAAAGGAAGTAGACATTAGTTTATTGTTTGCCCACTAAAGAGGAGAAAATGGACATTTTGAAACATTTTAAAATTTATTGGTTGACATCTGTCAGTGGTAGAATATTTTCTTGCTTGAGAATCTGTTTGAATGAAGGAGGCAATTATATTTTGCCTTAATGGACTGCTGGTACAGTGCCATAAAAACCAATTAGCTGCTGAGTCAGTGTAAATAACCATATAAGCTCTGTTTCAAATACTTTTTTTTCTGAACAAAGGTTGGAAGCAAATAGATAAATAAAGAAAAGCAAGCAAATCCATTTTACATGTCATTGTTCAGCTTTCTGTTGCATATGTTGTAAATGAAATGGTTTTCAATGTGAAGTTTAAGTCATGGTACACTGCAAGAATGAATGATACATACAACATCACTGTATTATCTTGGAATTATTATTTTTGCATGAAAGTTTAACACTATTTCATCATGAATTGTCCTTGTTTTATAATTTTCTGTGCATGCATTTTCTAAAAAATATATAACCTCACTTATATATCATTTGTTTGCTTTAGTAGGAATATTTATCAATGGCATGAACTGTAGATTAGACACATAAATTTAGTGGTTATACTAAAATGTATTTGAGTGCCATTAGGACAGTTAGTGATCATTATAAGAATTCTGGATTCAGAGATTATAAAATAATGAATTTTAAAATTTCTAAGAAAGGTCTTCAGTTATATTAGATGATAGAATTAGTTTGGCCACATTTGTGAATTAATGTTATTGATATTTCAGTGCTGAATATATCATTTTTAAAAAACTTTTATTGAACAAATTAATCAGAAGTGTAACTGCAAAATTAGACACTTTATCAATAAAACTTCCATGAGGGCATAAACATGTTTGCTTCTGATCACCATCGAATTCCATTCATATAGTATATTCTGTACAGGCAGAGTACAGAGGGCAAATGAATGAATGAATGAATGATTACTGGTTTTGTTTTCACGAACTTGAAAAGATATTTATGAAAAGTAATGATAAAAACTAGTTTTGCATTATTGTTGCGTTGAAAGAAATCTACAAGACACTAAGAATTTAAATTTTTTCTCATCGTAGCTTTATATTATTTTGAGCAAATATTAAACAAAATGAAATGATATTTCATTGCCCTAGATTCGAAGAAAGTCCTCCAGTCAACAGTGTTGTGTCTGTAGCTTGCTTTCACTGTATTTTTCATTGATTACTTTTTAAACTTCTTAAGATCTAAATACAAGAATGGATCACAGCAAAAACAAAAACAAACGTGTCTCTAAACCATCAATTTATAACATTCTAATCAATAGTGTAACAGTGAAATGATTTAAATGCCCTTTGTTATATTTAGAGCTTTTGAAAAAAAGTACCCTTTCTCAAGACCTAGATAAATAATCCAGATGCCAAATCCATATTTTCTTCATATGATTTATTTCCTGTCTTCTGGGGCAAATCTGCCCCTTAAAAGCCAACAAACCTGGTGGAGGAGAGATATGTGAAAAATGACTAGAATACAGTGAGATAGAGAAGCACAGAGAAGAGAACGCCCTTGGGTATATAGAGAAAGATAACACGTAACCATACCTGAGAAAATCAAGTCAGGCTTTAGGAGGAAGCCATGCTTCAGTCGTCTTAAAATACCTAAACAATAAAATTCATAATAACGTAAAATTATTACTAACCTAAATGGGCTAATAATAGGAAATGATTAAGGAACTGTGGTCCATTTTGATAATGAGATGTTATAAAGACCTTAAAAATAACATCTTCCAAAATATTTTTTTTTAAAGATTTTTATTTATTTATTCATGAGAGACAGAGAGAGAGAGAGAGGCAGAGGGAGAAGCAGGCTCCCAAGGTGCAGAGAGCCCGATGCGGGACTCGATCCCAGGACTCTGGGATCATGACCTGAGCTGAAGGCAGACGCTCAACCATCTGAGCCACCCAGGCGCCCCATCTTCCAAAATATTTAATGATATTAGGAAAACATGTACGGTATGATATTTGACATAGGTGTACAACACAGAATTCTCTATATGATAAGACTTTAATTAGATAAAATAAATACGCATACCAAAAAGACCCCTAAAACTCACTGATCTGAGTGTTGCATTATGAGCAGTCTGAATTTTCTTCCTCATATATTTTGTAAATAAACTTAAATTTATCTTGAATGTGAACAAAATAATTTCTGCTTTTTGGAGGAAGAAAATCATAACTAGTGTTGCCGATTATAGAGAAAGGATTTTACCTTTTGTGTGAGAGAGGAAGGGATGGTAACTTGGGGAATAACTGGATTTAAAGGATTAGAAAGCAAATTTGGAAATTGAGAAAAAAGAAGAGAACAGAGGCATAGAGTGCCTCATCCATGCAAGAAGTATTGTTATGTCAAATGCTACAATGAGTTCAAGAGCAATATTGTCTGAGGAAACCCATTGCGTATAGAAATAAGGAGGTCAGGGTGAACCCTGAGCCTATTGAAGAAAGCCAGGAACTGTGAGAAGGACTTTGGAATTGGATAAGACCAGAATTTAGGCATTTCTACTTAGCCTTCTGGGGATATTTACTTGTTTTGATTTGATGTTCATTAAGTGTTGGTAATACCTACATGTTCAAGTATTACTAACATTGAGTAAAAATGAATCAATGTGTATGACACAGTATAGTCAATATACATATATATGTAGTTATTGTATTTATACAAAAATATATAAATATGCCAATATAAATATTTATACCTGTCTATATATTTGTATATATGTTTTTTAATCCAGGCAGAAAAGTGAAGCTCCTGCCAAGTATTTTAACAGAGGAATTTAATATGAGGAATGAATTCAGCAGTTGTGAAGGTGACACAGAATAGAAAGGTGCTTCTCCCTCCAGGGCTACAAAGATCTAAGAAGAAAAGGATATTATACAAAGTCAGGAGGTGGCCCCAGCAGGAGCTAAAATTAGGAAGGAGATCTGGGGACCACTGCTGGGAACATCCCCTGAGGCAGAGGAGGGGAGGATATCCTGGCTTCTGGGCTCATCCTCCCTTCAGTCTCCACCAGTGCCTCTCATTGGCCAAATTCCACCAAAGCCAAAGTGAGCCTGGGATACATGGTTCCCAAGAGTCAGTCTCTGGGATACAAAAAGAAGAGGGGAAGGGGATGGGAAATACTTATTATGATGTTTACATGGATAGAAATGAAGCTGAGAGGCAAAATTTTTGATGGATAAAATATTTACAAAAACACTTAATGAAAGTTATTTCTTTGTGTCTTTCAAAACTAAGTGGGGAAAATTGTGTCTTTCTCAATAACAGAACCAGAGAGTAGAATTATTTTCAACTCTGACTTCAGTGCATGATAGAAACACTTGTGTTTGAATGCACCTTGCTACAGTGGTTTTCACACAAAATATACAGAGTCCAGTCTTACTGAAAATACCTATGATACTTAATGGATTTGGAATTTAAGATTTACCTCATAAGAAGCTGCAAAATTATTTTTCTGAGTATAACAGTTTTTTCAACTGATAATATGCTTTCTGTAGAGGAAATAAAAGGTTTATAAAATTTAATATTCCAGCAGTAATTTCCTTTGTGAAAGAGTTATAATTATCTCTAAAACATCTTGTACATCTATTCAGTGTTACTACATATTTCTCTTTCTGATATAGAGGTTATTAAAATGTACTCTGAAGTTAGTTTCTTACAGGTGCTTTCTCTTTTCTACAAAGTCCAGACTTAAATATTAATATTCCTGTAATGCCTAAAAATCAGGAGATTTTTATTCATTGTATGATTGCCTTATTTTTATTCCCAATCTTGCTCCACATTTAGGGCACAGCGTTATTAATTTTAGTAGTCATTTTTGAGGAAAAAAAAAAGAATCACTCATGAAGAGCATCAACTTTGCTTCTTGACATGAATCCTGGGCTTGAATTAAACATCCCTGAGAACTCACGTTTCCATTTAAAAATTGAATTTTTTCATTGCAGACGTTTGGAACAGAACTCAATCAAGGTCATCCCTCCTGGAGCTTTCTCACCATATAAAAAACTTAGAAGAATGTGAGTGAATAATATTCTGGAATATATGTAATTTTAAAAATTATACAGGTCATGACCATGCAGACATTCACTTACGTATGAATATTTGAGTGTTTGACAACTTAAATATTAAATGATGTGACTTCTGATTGCTGGTTGTATAATACTATAATGTTAAAAGCTAAACTATGTAATATTTTAAAGTTCTCTGAAATTTAACATACTGATTCACACCCATGTGAATGTATGTGATCAATATAGTATGCAGTCAAATCTTAGATGCTCTATTTTCAAAAATAGGACATGGCATCTCTTATAATAATTTCAGAAAAGAGCCAATAGTTGATTTAAAAGTCTGATTTTTTTAAAATTGAAGATGCTTCAGATGTTTTAGGTTGCAAATTGTCTACATGTATTGATAGGTGCAAAATCGACACTTAAAGGCAGTAAATAGCTTTCTCTTGCTGTAAATCCTCCCTGACATTCTATTTAATTTAATCTACCCTATTTCTAATCTTAGTGACCTGAGCAATAATCAGATCTCTGAACTAGCACCAGATGCTTTCCAAGGACTACGCTCTCTGAATTCACTGTAAGTATTGACCACATCACTGAAAGAAAGCAGAATACACAACTAATAATGGTTCCATTTTTTAAAAAATCTGAATTTAAGAAAAATAATCCTTTAATTTTTCCTATGAATTATTAATAATATTGATTATTATCAATCTTAATGAATTTCATCATTTTTATGGAGGACTGCTACCTGTCACTAAAATCAGCCTTCCATAAAATCAGCCCATTTTTAAAGGTATATATTTTAGGATTTGATAGTTTTGCTATTTAGAGAGAAGAGTAAGAGCCTCTTTATTATTCTATGTTGATATTATTGACAGTTTTTCTGTTTCTGAACTAAAGAGGAAATGTTTATTTTGGAACACTTTGGTCATTGTATTTATAATCCTTAAGCCAGTAGCCACTCTCTGGGGAGAATATCAGTCCCCTTTGGAATGACATTCAGTGGTCTTACAGAGAACAGTTGAAGATGCCCGGTGGGGGCCCCCTTGACTCCCTGCTTCATCTCCTTAAGACTTCCCTGAAAGAACCACCTTTACTCTCTCAAAGAACAAAGATAACAAAGTATGACAGCTTTTTAATGTCCAAAGGATTTTCAGGCAGATAACTACATACATTACAGTGATTGTAAAAAAAAAAAGGATAAATGCTGTTATTCTTTCAAATTTGTAAAAAAATCTTCAGAAGGCCACCAAGTAAGGTAAACTGTATTTCAGATTTTAACTTTAAAGTTTGACCATGGAGGGTGGCATGTATTTTTTCTAAGAGTATGTGCTTAGAGAGGGTTCTTATCATTATAAATGAAGGCAGGGCTCTCGAGAATTTCAGAAGTCAGTGGTGCCCAGTGGGAGTTCCAAGATACACATGCGGGAGGCCCAGATAAACACTGGGGGCTTATGTAACGCTTCACACTCACTCATACGTAGGGAGAATTCATCTGGGCACATGTTATTTCAGGTTGCTGTGCTGGTTTGCTCAGAAAACTACAGTTTTCTTTGAAGAAAGGAATTGAAAAACTATCACTTCACCTTTCACCTGCAGTATCTACTTAGGTTCATTTTTGTTTGTTGTTGATGTTGCTATTTTTTTTTTTTTTGAGAGAGGGAATGGGGGCAGGGGGAACGGGAGAGAGGGAGAATCTCAAGCAGACTTCTCACTGAGCATGGAGCCCAACATGGGGCTTGATCTCACAACCCTGAGATCATGACCGGAGCCAAAATCAAGAGGTGCACGCTTAACTGAGCCACCCAGGCACCCCTCTTGTTGATGTTGCTCTAGTTAACTAGAGGAAGTCCAAGACCAGAGGAACAATTGTTGGCAGAAAATGCAGAGTGCAGACCAGTACTGCTCTTAGGATGGGCTATCAGATTCTAAAATAACAAAGTTTAATGTAAAACTCAGTTAAATTACTCGAATTGTCCATAAAGTACTGTGTATGCCATTCTGGAGAGTAACATTGTCCAAAGTAAATACAGACCACATTCCAGCCACACAAAAGGACACAACACAAGTCAAGTCATTGTACCAATGCCTGGTCCTTCAAGTATCTGTGCCTCAAAGAAAACCAGTAAATGTCAAAAGAGAGAGAAACGGTTGGAGAATTCTTATGTAGATCTGTTTGCTTGCAGTTTACTATTAAGCTATTGCCTTAATGTTAATTGACACCTTCTGGCTGTGAGAATTAAAATAAATGATAAAAATAAATAATAAGAAAAATAAAATAAATAATAAATAGAACATATA